CCGTTTGACAATCCGCACGACTGGTTCAATCTGCCGCCCAACTCCATCATCGTTATCGATGAAGCCCAAGGCTTTTTCCCTGTTCGAGATCCTCGCCAGTCCGTCCCTGAGCACGTCTCCCGTTTTGAACTGATTCGTAAAGCCGGGCATGAAGTCCACCTCATTACCCAAGACCCCCGTTATATCGACGTGCATCTACGCCGACTGGCGAACGGCCACGTTCACTACATGCGCGTGTTCAAATCAACACAAGTCATTCGCTTTGAATCAGATGCTGTTGTTGAGGCTGTCGAAAAGAAAACATCATTTAAAGACTGCGATAAGCGAGTTATTAAACTTGATAAAAGTTATTTCTCTGTTTATGACTCAGTAAATGCTGATGCTGTTCATCATTTCAAATTCAAACCGCCATTAAAGTTAATTCTAGCCTTATTAGTTATTGGCTTTGTATCTGCCTTTGTTTTTTACACTTACAACAAGTACAGCCAACAACAAACTAATACACAACCTACATCACCGAAATTAAATACCTCACCTAATCCAGTTGATATTGCCAAGAGTCTTATTTCAGGCACTAGCGCTCAAGTTCAACAGGACAAAAAAGCATCTATTGAAGACTTGCGCGAATACATTGAAGATCGGACACCAAGAATTAAGAATGTTCCGTTTTCTGCTCCTGTCTACGATGAGCTAACACAAGCAGTCGCTTATCCTCGACTCGTTTGTTTATCTTCTGAAGACCCTAAGTTAGTTAGCAAACGTCCGGCTAAAACTGTTAGCAACGGTGTTGCTTGTCAGTGCTATACACAACAAGGCAGCAAAGTCACTGTTGATGTCGACTTCTGTTTAAAAGTAGTTGCTGATGGTTTCTTCGACCCTGCCCAGCCTGATAGAACTTCCCGTGATGGCAATCAACAACAGCCTGTAACGGCGTCACAAGGTTTAGCCGAGCCTGCGAGGCAAACCGTGACGCCGAGAAATGCGGTTACCTCAACTTCCTCTAACTTGGTGCATTAATATGGAACAATGGTTCGTTCTAATTGTTGTTGTTATTGCTTTTTATATTGCGTTATTCGGGCGTGTTTAATATGCGCTATTTATTGCTTATTTCTTTATTATTTTTTTCATCTGATATTTTCGCAGAGTTGCGTACCGAAGTTTATGACAGTTATGGATCAGCTTGCTCTGCTTTTATGCGTTATAGCCCTTCTTCATCTTGCCCAAGTTTTCCTATTACTGTTCGATCAGGTGGAATTTATATAGATATAACTTATGAAAACTCTTATTCTGGCGCAGTCTCTAGAGGGTTGCCTTATAAAAACTCCTTGGGTCAATACACCTCTGATAGTCCTTGTTCTCAATCTCAAACTTATAATTTTGATACGCATTCATGTGATGGTAATGATCCACCTATTCCTCCCGGTACTGACTGCTCATCCAAAACTGGTCAATCAGAAGAGCAAACTTGGACATATACCGGCCCTGAAGCTTTACCATCGTCCGCAAATATTAATGGTTGTTTAGTCACCGTTAATGATGGCGTTTGTTTACTTGGCACTTGTGCCGGAGTTGTTACTTATACTGGCCAAGCAACACCTACTTCTAGCAATAGTGATGGTAGCGGTAGCTCAGGTAGTGGAAGTGGCTCAGGTTCAGGAGGTACTGGCTCAGGAGGTATTGGCGTTGGTACTGGAACTGGTGAAGGTGATGGTACTAATACAGGTACTGAAACAGGCACAGGCACTTGTACGAGTACTGACACAACCACTTGTACAGGCACGGGCACTGGTACAGGCACTGGCACTGGCACTGGTACCGGCACGGGTACTGGTACTGGTACTGGTACTGGTACAGGCACTGGCACCGGCACTGGCACTGGCACCGGCACTGGCACTGGCACTGGCACTGGCACTG